GTCTACTGGCCTTGTCAAATTGTTGATCACGCTAGATAAGACGCTCTTTCTCAGAAACTGTAACTAAGGTCTGCTCAGCATATTTGCAGTATAAAGCACAGGTGGGCTCTGTGGATGTTGAATAAAAACAAAACATGCTTGAGTAAGCGTCTTCAATGGTGACTGGTTAGCCACCATAGTAGACGGGTATCCTCGGATACGATTGCCAGCTATACATACATGCACATACATACACATATACACACGTACATATATTCATACACATACACATATCTACAACATAAAAAATATACATGCACATATAGTTAAACAGATGGTGATGAATGTTCAGATTTTTATGTAATATATAAAAGTGTACACACATCACACACATCTTGCGGCCTCAGCCGAGATTGAACTCACCAATACTTTGATTGGTGTAGTTCATAATCTTGTCAATAGCTGAATTCTTGATGCTTCGCTAGGGCTATCAAGGGTGTTTTTATCGTGACACCAACACTAAATGGATTGACAACCAATGCTCAGAGAGACTCCATTCTCTAAGAGCAGGTTTGAATTCAGAGTTTTCCTTCTCCTAGACCAGTTGCCATCCAAGGCTATAGAACCCAGTATGTCCTGCTATTTACCCATAGCTGGAGGGAGAAGAAAGAGGATTCACACCTTTCTCAAAGTGAATGTAATGGATTCGACTGGAATTCGAACTCGGCTCTCCGATTCCTCAATCCAAGCCGCTATCCATTGCTTCACCGTGCCTCCTCTAAAAAAAAGTGTAACAAGGTTGACTATTTTGGATATCGTTTTTTTTTTATTTTATTTCGAGACATGCGTAAGGATTTTGCCTATTTAATTTCAATATACTCACCTTGACGTAAGTGCGTTAACAATCATATCAGTGATTTGGTCAACCGTTAAGTTTGACCACCACTGCTATATCTAATCACATGACGCTGGTGATATAAATATAAAGACTTATCTTTTCCAGCTCCTATATAAATATAACATCTATATTATTACTCTATCTTATTATTAGTAATAAAAATTGTTATATTTGACAACACATTATCTTCGACATTAAAAAAAAAAATACTTTATAGCATTTGCGACAGATCAATGTGGACAAATTCATGTATATTTGTTTAGCGGTTCTCCTCCGTCATAAATTCAGCAGACAAACATTAACTTCAGCGAGTTTCGACAGCCTTATGGCTAAATCTGCCTATGGTACTGAACTACTGGTAATACACTGGAGTGCTGATACACAGAATCTGGTTCGGGTTTTTCCTACATTGGCACCAACGAGAAGGGTGATAGCTTCCTCTGATGGAATCACCGGACACGTGTCCGTCACCGAGACGACCTTCAAGTCGTAAGCCATCGGATTTGTTCTGACCTGTATAGGGATGGGCTTCGTCTGGTCTACTTTACCCAAGACACACTAACGAATAAATTAATAGATATTTTCCAAGCGTGGCTTACACGTGGCACAAGGACGAAAGTAGAGGGCACCTAGTGAGGATCAAACTCACTCGTAATTGTTCTAACGAGACACGCTTGATAACCATTGCACCGCCTCGAGATGCCTAAAAGAAGGAATGGATACATGGAGGAACTAGTTAAGATTTCAACTGCGCATCAACCCGGCCATAGGTCTGATGTTCATGAGGATTGCACTAGTTAAAATGCTTCCTCACAAAATTCTTCATATATATACATATAAATGTATAATAACCTGGTCGTCTATATTTCTCTGTGTCTGTGTGTATTTTTTTGAGAAATCCAATTTATATCAGAGCTTATGTCAAGAGAATAATTTTTAATTGAAAACAACATTTTACTCTATATTATTCGAACTATTGTTATCATATTAACAAAAGTTTTCGATCAAGTATCCTATGGACTTTTTCAGGTCTCTACTGTTTTTCTGTTATCGGATACCAGATGATTATTTTGCAAGCTGGTTTCTATGATGACAGTTCTTGTTCATTTTAGTTACACTTTTGAATATTGGCTTAATACAAGATACTGTAATTCCAGAATGTACAAATTTCACTTAGGAAATTTATGAATCCATATCTACTCTGCCCCAGGTATGGGTAAATAGCAGGGTAGATTGGCCTTTATAGCCTTCGTTGGAAACCATTCAAAGAGAAATACAACTCTAAATTCAAATAGCTCAAGCTACACAACCGCTTATACAGTGGTAATATATATGATGTTTCTACGATACTAATAGGTCATGGCACTCGAAATCATAATATACCGGAAGTGAACTCACCAAGTTTAATTAATTATATACATACTATATTATAATTTCGAATGGGTGTGTTTTTGGAGCCATTAAATCCATTAAAATCAGGTGCATTCGATATTTTATAATCTAGCAGGCTTTTACAGCATTTGATAAATTTTGTGATTTTAAATTTCATATAGAGAAAAATGTTATTTAGATTATGTATAGAATTTCTGTTAATGTGTAATCTGGAAAACCCTGTATGTATCA